ATGCCCATTAACAGCTGAGGGAATTCTCCCTCAGTATCATTGAATGTACCTTCGCTGCAGTCCCTCTCAAGCAGCAGTGCTTCCTACTGCTCCGGTTTCACTGCGACTTACCGTGCTTCACCAAGTCTGATAAAAAACTTTACAAATTCTTTATGGCAAAAACATATTACAGAAACGCACAGAAATGCTATAAATGTTATGAAGAAAAATGCTACACAGAAATGTTATATATACATAAAACCATCATACATATACAAAAATGCCATACATGAAAAAAAAAAAAAAAACAAGAAACACAAACAAATTTACATATAAACACCACGTAACACACATAATTCTTACAACCGTTACATTTACCCAATCAACTGATCCCGTTCGCGTCTTCTTTGTAGTTGTCCTCTACACCTCGGCGCCATTCGCAAGCAGTTCCTAATACAAATATTCTTGCGCAAACTCGCGCATCTCTCGATACTTTCGTAGAGCAAAGTGTAGCAATGCGATACACTTTGCAGCTCTGTGCGCGCTGAAATAATTACACGGTTATAACGTCGTGATGGACCAGTGAAGTCATTACTGGTAACAGAAAAAGTGAAACGTTCTAACTCACTTTTGCTTTCCGCAGCACCGCTTTAGTGCTCCCTGCCGGAGCTCGCGACAATGCGCACACTGTACCGATAAACAGTACGGTCCTCCAGCACGAGCGGAGTCACATTTGTAGTTATGATGACACTCTTCTGCACTTCGACGTGCCGAAGCCATTATACATGCTCGCTCGGGATCGTCACATAACAGCCTGCAAACCGCATGTCTGAATATACACTGATGTAGAAAAAAAAAACTTCCACTAAGAAAACTCCAGGCCATCTACAAGCCACCTCCCGCCTGCCAAAGAATCATCAAACGCTCTGGCTGAGCCTGCACACCATAAGAAAATGCTTCACGCAGCGGGTGCATCGCAAAGACGAGAATTCAACCCTGCGCTTTGAGGGACCTGGAAAAGCTTCCTTGTAAAGGGTAGCACACAAAAATACGCCGACTGCCCGAAAAATCCTAAAGTCGCTTGCACAACAGAACGGCCACACTCACCAGCCCTCTCGCCAGATCTTCCTTTGCCTCGGCAGCCCGGATGTGCTGTCCTGGTGCGTGCATCCGGGCAAACATCTGGCGACGTCGTTCTTCTTACAGGAGGAGGACTGCAAATCGATTGTTCCCCCTCGCCCCCACGGTACTGCCGGCTCATCGAGGGCACTACATTGCAAACAACATTATTC